AGGGCTGCCACTTGTCCTGCTGCCCTGGAGCATCAGCAGGGGAATCCTAGCCCTAAAGCTGCCTGGGGCCAGCTGCAGCTCTAGGGCTCCTCCTGGCCAGCTCTCTCTAGGAGCTAATGGGCTTGGTGCCCCCAATGCTACCAAGGTGATGGAGGCTGCAGAGGTGGGGCCTGGCTGGCAGGGAGGGAACAAGCCCAGCTGAGGCAAGACCACTAGGTTTAGGAGAGTGGGTGCAGCCGCCAAGGCCCCTGGACACCTCACACAGCTGGGTGAACAACATGGAGAGGTTGCTGCCCAGCCACGGGAGCTGGAGGTATAGAGGCACAGAGGGCAAGGCCCTGTGGGGCCCTGAGGCCTCCTCTGAACCTCAGAGCAAGCTACCAGCCCAGGAGCCTGCCAGTGCCCAGCCATACTTGACCCTTCCCAGGAGGCAGGCGAAATGTAGATTCACGGGAGGAAGAAACCACCAATGTCCCCACAGCTAGTGACATCTGAGGACAGTGGTGTGAGGATGGGGCAGGGCCCAGGACCCTGGACACCAGACCCGAACCCTGGCAGCTGCTCCAGTACCTGCTGGGGTACAGGTGCGGCAGGTGGCGGGGAGGCAGTGGGAGCAGGGAACTCTTGAGGGGCAGGGCACACAGTGGGACCACTTGGCCACACAGTGGGGCTGGGAAGGGTGACAGCACATGGAGGGTGCCACTGACTGCCCTTTTTTGGTCCCCACGCAGAAGCTCCTAGTGGCACAGAGCCTCTCCTGGTGAGGGTGGGCCTTAAGGTGGCTCCCACTGCACTGGGGCCTGAGGGCCAGGAGGGTCCATTCAGGGCCTGCAGTGGGACAGGGCTGGCAGGGGCTCAGCAGTGTCTGCAGCATGTGTGCATGGGGGCTGTGGCTCCGATCAAGGACTTGGAAAGAGCCCTGGAAATGGGCCAGAAGCTAGCAGAACTGCCCACTTGGTGAGTGGTCCCTCAGCCTGACCTGGCCTGGTACTGACCTCTGTAAACAGATGTTTGCACCCCCCTTGGCCCACTGAGAGGAAAGGTCTTCACCTTGCCCATGTCCTCTGAGAAGGCTGTGGTCCATGCTCCCTGGAGCAGGGATGGCTGGGAGCGAGTGCTGAGGATGCCTGGGGAAATGCTGGGTTCTTCCCCAGCTGAGGCCACAGTGCACAGTGCCTGTCCAGGAGCAGCACCTTCCCTGGGACAGAAGGGGTCATGTGGGCAAGCCCAGGAGTTGGGCTAGAGGCCCAGATGCACAGGAGGCTAGAGCCAGGTGGGGCGGGGTGGGTTGCCATGCCCAGGGCTGGACTCTCAGAGGACCCTGTCTCTCCCCACCTGTACTGCAGACAGAAATTGAGGAGGAGCTGCAGTCTGAGGGCAGTGGGCCCCAGTCTGCAGATGCCTTAGAAGACTGGGGTGGGGTGGGGGGAGAGGTCACCCAGAGGCCCTTGAAGAGAGAAGAGACCACAGAGGGACTGGACATCTTAGGGGGCTCTGGGCTGGAGCTGCTGTCTACTGGTGGGAAGGGCCTGGCCAAGGGATATGTACTGTTTGAGTATGGCAGAGGAGCTAGGAAGGCAGTGGCTGGCAGTGTCAGGGGGAGGATTTCTGGTGGCAATTTTATGACTTGGTTCCTATACTTCCAACAGCCTGAGTCCTGAATGACACAGCCACTCTATTCTTCCTGTGGGGTCAGGGTGGGAGGTACAGGCAGGCTCTACTGCCAGTACTCACAGGTGGCAAAGTGCTTCCCACTCTGTCTGTGGTGAGGTGGGATGGTGAGGCCCAGGGGTCTGGGCTCATCTCCTGCCTTTTCTATCAAGCAAAGTTCCCAAGTAAGACCATGGGTCTATTATTTATGACTCCCACTTATGCAGCTACTGGAAAGAAATATATATTTGGAGTAAGATACAACGAAACTTAATTCTGGGAGGGCAAGTGGAGGGAGAATATTTGGTGCACAATGTGCACAATGAAAGGGTACATTTCAAAATAACTAAGAGTATATTACAAATGTCGTACCACAAAAATGAGTGAGGCAATAGTTATACTAATTAGTTTGATTTAAGCATTACACATTGTATATCACATCACTACATTTGTACCCCCATAAATATACAGTTAGGATTTAATAAATATTAAGTAAAAAATACATCAATAAATTTAATTCTGAGGTACAGGTAGAGGCCTTCTCCCCTGCATTTAATGTAACCTCGGGGCCAAAATGGGTCCTGCCCTGGCTTGGCCCTCTGCTTCCTCCTTGTCTCCTAGTAAAGTGGGAGAGACTGGTTTTGCCCAAAGTTGTCCTCCTGCCCTGCACATCTGGACCCCTCTTCTCTTGCCTACTCATGTTTGCTCTGTGTACTTGGGGACTGTGTTAGTTCCCTGGAGCTGCTATAACCACCACTACCTGAGCAGCTCGGATAGCAGAATGTAGTGACTTAAAGTTCTCAAGGCCAAAGGTCTGACATCAGGGGCTGTGCAAGGCTGTTTCCTTCTGAGGGCTGTGAGGGACAGTCTGCTTCAGGCTGCTCTCCGTGTGTAGACAGCCCTCTCCCTGTGTCCTCAGATCATCATGTCCACATTTCCCTTTTCCTAAAGACACTGGGCTGCTCCAGCAGGATGTCATCTTAACTAAGTACACCCTGTGTCCAAGTGAGTTTGCATCCTGAGGGGAGCAGGACTTCAACATGGGGATTTGGGGACACAATTCCACCCATAAGAAGGAAAAACCGGCTTGGCGCCTATAGCTCAACAGGCTAAGGCGCCAGCCACGTACACC